TCTCCCATCCTCCTCCTTCCCATTCCCTCCACCCCTTTCGCTCATTCTGTATAAAATGGCCGGCGCATAAAAATAGTGTAGTGTAGCAAAGTGTTGGAGAGAGGAAATTCTTCAAAACTAAGGGAGTTGTGAGCCGTTATAGCAGGGTGAGTGACTTAGTGACCGTAATCCGGCACAGGCTGAAGGGCCATTTTGTTGTTGTTATTGTTGTTCTTGTTGCTGTTGGTGTTGTTGTTGCTGTTGCTGTTGTTGTTGTTGCTGTTATTTTTGTTACCACCTACTGTTCCTTTTCTGTAAGTGTTTTACGAAGCTCACAGCTGCACAGGGTCATATAAGCGCGGGACACATTAAGTATTTTCAGTTTGGAATGAATTAATTTTGAATTTTGCCCGGGAGTTGGCCGAAGTCTACGCTTGTCGATTTTGAACCACCAAGGAATCTTTAACGTGCGCAACTTGCACACGGGACCTCCTTGATTTTTCACCCTTTTCCGGAAAGACTAGGTGTTCAATTTAACATACCATAAGATCAGGTTTGTGGCTGAAAGACAGCAAAATTTAGGAGCCAATAAGGAGTAGCAGTAGAAAGACTGCAGAAAGAGTCAGAAGCCCAGAGGAGGGGGCAAATGGGAGAGGGGGTGGGGGCAGAAATTGGAGACGACAGTTAGCGACAGAACGTGATTAGAGAGCTGGTGAGGAGGTAAAAAAAGAACGTTTTAGAGAAGTAAAATTTCCGTTTCTGTCAGGTTTCGAACCCAGGACCAATTGAATATGAGTAGATGAGTAGGATGGCTAAGGTAAATCACCTAATTATTTATGTTTTAGCCATATTATATTATCCAAAACTTCACACATTTCCATTAAGTGGAAACTTAAAATGGACAGCCAAAATTCTAGCGTTAGTTCGGCTTAAAACCACGTTGTCTTGTTTATGTCCCTTGGCCGCCTTCTCATCTACGTCATCAGAGGGACATTCAGCATGTTATCTCCCTAAATGTCTGAATCTGTTTGTCTGTCTGTTTACTTCTATGCGTTATGTCTCCCTCTCAACACCGCCCTTTCTATTCTTTTCACCCCCCCACCCTTTCCGCGTGGTGCCGGCCTCAATTCCATACATATTTTAAACCATTATCTCTCAGCACATGTTTTTATTTCTTCTTTACCTTTAACTATCGGAATCTCTGTAACCTTAACCATAACGTTAACCTTAACCGTATCCCTGAAAATAACCCTAACCCTAAACCTTACCCTAACTAGTCTAACCCTATCCCTACCTGTAGCTCTAACCCTTACCTTAAGCCTAATCCTAACATTTTCATAGTCCCTCTCTATCTCTCTCTCCCTTCTCTCTCTCTCTTTCTCTCTCTCTCTCTCTCTCTCTCTCTCTCTCTCTCTCTCTCTCTCTCTCT